CCTCATCTTTACTGATGGACTATGGCAGCCTTTCTGGAGACTATTTGGTACTACTTAGTCAAATTAAAAATATACATACCCCCAAACCCAGCAATTCTGCCCCTAGGTATGTATTTCAAAGAAGATCTTGCATGGGTCCTTAAGAGAATGTACATTAGGATATTTATGACAATGTTATTTGTAGCTGTGGAGAGTTGAACACTACCTATGAGTCCAGTCTCTTCTCCGAGAGAGCAGTTAGATGAAATGTTGAGGACACACACTTTGGAGTACAAAGTAAGCATTTAGAAGGAATGAATCAGATGTGCACACAGCAGCATGGGTGGATCTTTAAAATATAGTTCTAGTGTTTTAAATAATGATAACATTAACAAAACATTATCAATGAGATATATAATTAAAAGCACATTATAAAACAATACCTGTGTTGCAATTATGCATATGTAAAAAGCAAATGTGAATACATTAGAATCATTGACTAAAGTGGGGATGGAACTTAAGTACATAAAAATCATTTGTAAGTCTATATCAAGAGATAAAAGCTGTTGACATTATTTGTATCTTTCCATCTGTCATAATAATAATGGCTATCATTTACAGATCACTTATTGTGGGGTAGGACTATGCTAATTGATTTATACACTTTATCCACTTAATCCTCCTAATAATCTCAGAAAGCAAATTTCATTACTATTCTTTGGAAAAGAAAAAAAAATGAGGCTGAGGGAGATTTGATAGCCAGGACAAGGCTATCAAGCCAGGCAGAGAATGGATTTGAACTCATGTCAATTTGACACTAAAGTCTATGTGCTTAACCACTATCCTGGGTTGCCTCCATCCAGCCATTTGGTATGTGATAATACAAGCTTACATTTTCTGTTACAAGAATACGATCACACCACACTACTGCTTCAATATATGCTATATTTTTATATTTTGTAAATTTAACATTTAACCATATAATGAATCTCTTCACAGTGGTAAATATAGACTTTTAATCTCATTTTAAAAGGCTGCATAGTATTTCATTGTCTGAATGCATGATAAAGGAATACAATAGTAGAGAGATGGAGGATGACATCCATCTCCAAATGGCAGATATTTAACAGGCAATGAAATAAGGACTCCGTAATGTCAGTCATGTGTCAGCTGAGGAGGGATTCTTGACAACTATTAGCAGCTAGGGAACTTAGAGCTCTTGTATAACATTTCAGCTTAATTGAGCCCTGGAAATATGCAGAGGGTGCAGTCTGGAGATGTGTTACACTGAAAATGGTGCTACCAGATAATGGAACCGATAGAAATAGATTTATTCTATGTTTTCGTTCTTCCATGGTAGAAAGGTAAGTATGCAAAGAGCTGGAAAGTGTGTGTCTCTGGCAAGCAAGAAAAATGGGTTGGTTTAAATGCACAATTTCAAAAAACAAACAAACAAAAAACAACCCTTCACTCATTTCACTATAACTGATTGAAATTGTATGAAATTTTATTCAGTAAAGACGAGTCTTAACTTACTGGCTAAGTGTGGGACTAAATATTACATGTATATAAATTCTGAATCAATTAAACTTTTAAGCATATAAAGGAAGGCTTGATAAGTCACTCTAGTGTTGTTTTTAATAAACAAAACCATATTGCTTTTCTTTCCTTGATGTAAACTCAGATTTACATATGTATTAACATTTTAGAATTCAAAATTACTACAATTATTAAGTTAAAAAACAACTCCCAACCATCTTAACCGAGAGTCACTGTGGTTTCCTGCTTTAACAGAGCTTGAATGGAACCGGGTGCTCGACCCCCCATCCCAGCCAGCTGCCCAGGGCCATCCCCCTGCCACCTCCTCACAGTGCCTTTGGACCTCCCAAAGGCCCCCGCCACCACTGCAGCACCGCGAAGCCGCCTGTCCTCAGCCGCCCGTCGTGACGACCACGTCCACCTAGCAGTTGCACCAGAACTGCCACCAGGACTCGGAAGTTGCCATCAGCTGCCAGGTCAACCTGGAGCTCTGTGTTTGCTACGTGTGCCCGTCCACATCTTACTGCTCCGACCATGATGAGGTGGCTTTGTAGAACTTGGCCAAGTATTTTCTTCACCAATCTCATGAGCAGAGGGAACATGCTGAGAAACTGATGAAGCTGCAGAACCAATGAGGTGGCCAAATCATGCTTCAGGATATTAAAGGACCAGACCGTGGTGGCTGGGAGAATGGGTTGAATGCAATGGAGTGTGTATTACACTTGGAAAAAAGTGTGAATCAGTCACTTCTGTACTTACACAAATTGGCCACTGAAGAAAATGACCCTCATTTGTGTGACTTCATGGAGACTCACTACGTGAATGAGCAGGAGAAATTCATCAAAGAATTGGGTGACCAAGTATCCCACCTGCACAGGTTGGGGGCCCCTGAGTCTGGCACGGCAGAGGATCTCTTTGACAAACACACTCTGGGAGACAGTACAGAGAGCCCGGCCTTAGGTGGCCTTCCCACAGCCGTGGGCGTACTTCCCTGGTCACTGAAGCAGTATGTGCATGTCGGAGTGACCTTCACCTTTTCTACAACTTGTACCAAATCATCCACTTACGTCCTTCATTTGTACCATTCCTTCAAATGAAGTAATTTGCTACCAAAATACCCCCAAACCCTTCATATATTGAATTTTTTCCCCTGAATTGTGTTATTCTGTTTTGTGTATGTGTTTCACTTTTTGACTATCTTTTTGCTCTTATGAATTTTCCAGGATCACATTCCAACAATAAGCATGTGTAATCTTTATAATGAGAAAAAGATTGTGAAAATAAATAAAAGTAATGCATGCTCATGACATTTATTTTCCTAAATTATTTTAAATTAATTTCATATAAATATTTTTCAAAAAAATGTGGACCTTCAAGGCTTAGAAACAGTCTGGGAATAATCTCATTGAGTTTTCCAAACTTCAGTCATTGTCACATCAACTTTATGCTTTTTTTGCCAAAATTTGTGTATGAGCTTTATCATATATATCTTAAATCTTTTCATCTTTACCTCAAAAGATTAAATTAAAATGAAATTCTATATCCCAATCGTACCTGGACAATAATCATAATTCACGATGAAGAAAAGGAAAGTGTAAAATAAATATAATTAACACAGTAGTATTAAATTCCAGTCAAATATCATTTCTTATTCAAAGGTCCTCTCCTGAGGTTTACTTTTCACTTAAAAATGAAGATTGGAGGGAGTTTGAGGGCGTTAAAGATAATCTAGCACCAAACTGAGAGCTTCTCTTTATAATTATTAAAAATACTAAAGTAGAATTGAAAAGGAAATTAGATTATGAAAGTGTGAATCTGCATTACTTAATCTTGATGCCCTTGCTACTTACAAACATGGTTTATATTATGGTGTCTCCCATGTTTTGGAGACATTTGTTGAAAGCAGTTCGAGCACATGGAGTGAGCCTGAGTGCCCTCTGAAGACCCCCAGGGACTTCACCATCTCGTTCATAATGCTCTTCAACGTTCACCGAGGTGCATACATCCCAGTTCGATCCCAGCCCAGTCTCACACTGTTGTTTCAGCGTAATCACTATTCACATTCCCTCGTACACTCCAGTGTGTCCTGATTTGGGACAACCCACTGTATAGTCACCAGGTTGATGGGTCACCTGGCCATCGTTTTCCGAGCACCTCCCCTGGACCTGGCTTTCTGATAATGACCGGAATACAAAGGTGAGCAAGAGCGTTCCCAGCCCCCAAAGAACCCATTGCTGAGTTCTTCAGAGCAAGGAGGGGAAGGAAACCACTTATGACAATACCAAGTGATGAGAGTCACACGTAGGTCTATGCCACATGATGTTGGGGTCTCAGGGCAGGAGGACAGACGAATGAAATGGAGGCGGCAGCTTCCTCAGAGCTGAGGACAAGCAGATCAGCTAATCGGCGGTGTAAGAACAACAAATGAGCTCCACAGAGGCAGGGAGGCCTTTCCCTTTGAAAACGATGTATTCATTGCATTTCTAAGTGTTCAGGGAACTGGGGTGGCAAGGATTCAAGTGGGAAAAACACATACGGTTTCCGACTCATATGTCTTCAGTGCTTATAGGAAAACCTGCCCTGCCTGGTGAGTCTTCTCATATGTAGAAATAGATAAAAACGCTTGCGGAGGAAGAATATTCTCCACAATTTACTGGTTTATTACTTCCTTGGGTAAAACTCTTCCCGGGGTGATCACTGTTCTCGGAGTAAAGCCCACACCCGGCCCCGGGCCCCGGAGCTCTGCCCTCCGTCCGCAGCCCCACCTCCCGCCGCTCCCACCGGAGCTCACTGGGCTCGGGCGCCCGCAGCGCTCTTCCTCCAGAGCTTTTCGCGTCTGACTCTGACTCGCATAAAGGGGAAGCCGCCCTGAGAATGATGCCAGGCCAGAGGGAAGGAAGCAAAGGCAAGAGGTCAGAAAGGGTCCCTGCTGATGTCATCGAGCACCCAGGCCATCAGCTGCATGACAATGGAGGCCTCTGCCTGGTCCCCGCCGGCGGTGCCCTGGTGTGTGGAGCCTGCCCAGCATGCTGGGCGCTGGCCTTTTCCCTTTTCCCTGCAACACCGCATGCCTTACTGTTGGGAGTTCCCGTATGAACGGCCAAGTACGGCCACACGCTTCTCAAACTACAGCACACACAGCCCCAATTCTGTGCAAAGAAGATAAAAAGCAAAGTATCCGATACATCTTTGTAAATCATCAAGTTTATTACAACATTTGGAAAAACCAAAAGCTTTAATAAGAACCCCCACAAACATGGGAGCCAAGGAGAGCGGGGAGGGGAGAAAAACAGTCCATTCGTCGGGGCCAAGGGATGGGCCCGCAGCGAGGGTGGCTTCTCCGCGTGTTCCGCCCGTGTGCGCACCTCCGCCGTCCACCGGACCGAGTCCTCGCACCTGCACACACAGCGTGTGTCTGTGGCACCGTCTGTCCTGCAGCTGCTTGCGGCCCGCTTTTGGCTCAGCTCCTGCGCCACCGCGCCTCACGTCGGCTTCACCTGCGTCCTTCGGAGACGCAGCTTCTTCCTGGCTGGCCCGCAGCAGCAGAACATGTTGAGGCAAAAACCGAAGGCTCGCCGAGCCACCCGCTGCCAGCCCGGACTGTGGCCAGAGGGAGAGGCTGGGGTCCCCCCGTCAGGCTGCTGGAGGCCTGGGGTCCCCCCGTCAGGCTGCTGGAGGCCTGGGGTCTCCCTGTCAGGCTGCTGGAGGCCTGGGGTCTCCCCGTCAGGCTGCTGGAGGCCTGGGGTCCCCCCGTCAGGTTGCTGGAGGCCTGGGGTACCCCCGTCAGGCTGCTGGAGGCTGGAGTCAGCGGTGGTTCCCTCTGCGGAGGGGGTGGTCCCCCCGTCAGGCTGCTGGAGGCTGGAGTCAGCGGTGGTTCCCTCTGCGGAGGTGGTGGTCTCCCCGTCAGGCTGCTGGAGGCTGGAGTCAGCGGTGGTTCCCTCTGCGGAGGGGGTGGCCGTCCTCAACTCCCGTCTGGCTAGGGACGCGCTGCGGCCGGACGCTGGGCTGGGTGGGGGGGCCGGAAGCTGCTTTTCGGCGCTCGAGGGAGTGCTCGTTAGCGACCCCAGGCGGCTGGAGGAAATGACAGCCTCCTCTGTCTCCGTCCCGCTGTCGGACTCAGGGGGGGAGTAGGGCCTCACCCGGATGGTGAGGACCTTCCTCGTGTCTTTCACTGTCTTCAAGATTAGGTAAGTACCCATTACACTGTCGTAGTATTTTTTGGAGAGGGAGTTCTTTATCTCCTCCTCCTTAAAGCCTAGGCCCTCCATTATCGCTGCCACCTGGGGGTCAATGTCACCCCCAGGTGGCTCACTGTACGGCCTCAGCTCCTGTTCTTGTCCCATGTTTATCCATGGGTCGCTCATCACATCGCTTAGGGTTGGCCTTCTCATGGGGTCGAGGGTAAATAACATTTTCAATAGGCTTTTACTTTCTTCCGAAAGAAAGTCCGGCAGACTGACATTCCCCCTTAGTATTGCTTGCACAGTTTTCCCGTAAGAGCCCCCCTCAAACGGAAACTCCCCCACCAACATTCTGTACAACACCACCCCCAGGCTCCAGACGTCCGCCTTCGGGCCGTCATAGATTTCACTCCTCAAGATTTCTGGGGCCATGTAAGATATGGTGCCACAGTAGGTACTCAACTCGTAGTTAGTGAACACCCTCGCAAAGCCGAAGTCGGCCACTCTGATGTTCCCCTCACCATCGATGAGGATGTTATCTGGTTTCAGGTCCCGGTGGACGACTCCCTGCTGGTGGCAATACTGCATCGCGGATACGACCTGACGGAAGATGGCTCGGGCTTGCCCCTCGCTCATGCGGCCGTGGCGGTGCAGGTGTTCCCTTAGGTCCCCTCCGCTCACGTGCTCCATGACAATGTAAACGTACTCCTGAGTGGCAATCACCTCAAATAATTTTACTATGTTGGGGTGATTTAGACGCTTGAGGCTACGTGTTTCATCAAAGTATCTACTTATGTCACGATGGCTAATGCCTTTGATGGCCACCTCCCTACCCGTCAACCTGTGGCGGGCCAACCGCACCTTGGCAAAGGACCCTTTGCCGATGGTGCGCAGGAACACATAGTTGCCAATAAAGCGCTCCTTAAGGCGGGCGATGGCTTCAAGTACATTAGTCATTGTGACATAAAACCAAAGGAAAAAAAAGGAAAACAAAAACAAAACAAAAGAAGAAAAGAAAGTCACACAAAAAGAACAAAGCAAATAAAATTAAAAAAAGAAAAAACACAATAAAGGCAAATCAATAAAATTAAAAAAAGAAAAAAAATAATAAAGGCAAATTAAAAAATGACCAAAAAAGATAACAAACTGGAAAAGCAACAAGGAAAACAAAAGAAGAAAAGAAAGTCACACAAAAAGAACAAAGCAAATAAAATTAAAAAAAGAAAAAACACAATAAAGGCAAATCAATATAATTAAAAAAAGAAAAAAAATAATAAAGGCAAATTAAAAAATGACCAAAAAAGATAACAAACTGGAAAAGCAACAAGGAAAACAAAAGAAGAAAAGAAAGTCACACAAAAAGAACAAAGCAAATAAAATTAAAAAAAGAAAAAACACAATAAAGGCAAATCAATATAATTAAAAAAAGAAAAAAAATAATAAAGGCAAATTAAAAAATGACCAAAAAAGATAACAAACTGGAAAAGCAACAAGGAAAACAAAAGAAGAAAAGAAAGTCACACAAAAAGAACAAAGCAAATAAAATTAAAAAAAGAAAAAACACAATAAAGGCAAATCAATAAAATTAAAAAAAGAAAAAAAATAATAAAGGCAAATTAAAAAATGACCAAAAAAGGTAACAAACTGGAAAAGCAACAGCAACGGCTGGGCAGTCCAAGTCCAACAGGTCACTACAATCAGCTTCCTGGGCATCAACGGACAAAAATCTCAGCCCAGCCAGGCCTGTATATATAGTCGCAGCTTGCGACTGCATCACAATGGCGCCCTATGAGGTCAGAGCAAGACATGGGCCAAGCGTGGCTGAGGGTAAACTACAGTGGTTTCTTCACTTTTGGGTCTCATGACCCTTTTGGTCTGGAAGAAGGGAAAAAAAGGACCCCCTGCCCAAAGAGCTCTTTGACTTTTTGGTCTCATGACCTTTTTGGTCTGGAAGAAAGGAGAAAAAGGACCTCCAGCCCGAAGAGCTCTTTGTTTATGTTCGATATTAAAGACTGATATTTACTTGATTAGAAATAAGAATCCGTAAGACGCTCAAATAAAGTAAAATAAGATAAAACAAAAAAGTGTTACTTATTCTCGTGCTGCAGCTCATAGTTCAAATAGCACCTGCTCAGAGAAAAACTCCCCTGACCCATCCATTCCCACCTGCCTCACCTAGCCCATCACGGTGTTCACCTTCACAACACAGACCACAGGGCACCCGATTCCTGTTTCCTGTCCGTCCTTCCCATGAAGGCAGGAGCATGACTGTGTCTTCCCTGTGTCTGGCACAGCGAGTGGCAACAAAAGAAATGTTTCACCAATAGAAGGGCGTGGGGTAACTAAAGAATATATGGCCAGCTACTTATGGAATCAAAGCGATTCATTAAAAATCTTTGAAAAATGCATGTCCTGTCTTCACTCAACTTTCGGAACAGATGAGACAGGAGAGAGCAGAGCCGAGACCCGGGTGTCCAGGCTCGTGGGTGCGTGGTGAGGCCGAGGAGAGGCCACAGGCAGGAGCCACGCTGGAACCCCCGCAGGGGATGGGCCATGCCTTCCTCCCGCACTACTTGCCCAAGGATGCGGTGAGTTTGGATCTGCACTGAGGCTGCAATCTCATGTGACACTTGGAATATCTGTTTCCAGGTCCCACAAGGGACCTCTCAGGGGACCTTGAGTAGCCATTTAGGGCAATTTCTGTGTTACTGAAATGAGCCACCTCTGCGGACAGAGGTGACGATGAGGCCAGATAACCAACATGTGTAAAAACACTGGGAAACCTCTGGAGGAAAGAACTTCTGCAGAGGTACAAAGGGCGAGGTGACATGTTGGGTCCAATTCTACCCTTTCTATGGTGGCACAGAGGGAGCGGACAGGCTGGAGGACGCTTTGGGGCGGGGGAGCTCTGGCACATTCTACTCAGACTAATCCTCGAAGACGGCTCCCTCCTTCAGCATGTGGAGTGTTTGAATCACATGGAGAAGTTATTATTTTAGTAATTATTTTCCGTGAACACATCGAAAGTCTCAGCTTTCTGGTAAAGGGACTCTTTAGAAGGATTTCTCTGTGAGCTCGTCCCTCCCCAGCACTTCAGGTTGTTAAACTTTACATCAGGGATACTCAGCTCCTCAGCATGGCAGTCTCTGCGCTGAGCTGGCTGGGACCCAAACGGGGTCATTTCATCAGTTAGAGACAGATGTTGACAAGGTACAGTCAGAGATTAGAATGAGCTCAGAAAGGAGAAAAGGGAACATTGCAAAGAAAGCTGTCAGTCTAGGAGTTAAGTATGCCCATTTGTAAAAACAGTATTCGTAGTTACTCAAGGAGTAATACCAACAAAATAGAACAGTTTCTGATCTCTTCCACAAAGCAATACACACCCAAGGATAAGGCATTTAAGGTAAAACTGTCAAAGCAAAGCCAAGTTCTGAGCAAACAATGTGAGGTCTCCTATAGGCTGGGGTGTTCATTTGGTGAATGAAGTGCAAGTTAGGGGGACTTTGAAAATAGAAAACAAATTCTTGGATTGGTACCTTTTAACCTTGCAACTCAGGGATTAGCTAACAGTATCTGGGACAGTCCCCTCCAGCGAGGCTGGAGGGAGTCCTTTGGAGGTGTTTCACTGATGGACCACGTACAGGTTTTAGGCCATGATGCTCGGTGTCATCTCCCGGAAGTGAGCTGTGGGAAGGTTGCCCTGTGAGCCTGCAGTAATTGCAAGAGCCTGTGTAAATTCTTAGTAGCAAGTTAGGAGGTCTCCTTGATAAGGCAAGTTCCCACATTCTCTGATCTAACCTCACAGGATAGGCCTTCCTTCCAGTAACAATTTTCGAAGGGGACAATTGATGTACACCAAAAGGAAGTGATCTTAAATTAAGCAATACCAAGGGAAAGACTTTAGGCCAAGGCAGAGGAAAAGATGCAACAAATTTCACCAACTGAATTTCACCTATCTCATCAGTTTCTTCTATAAAACGAGAGGACAGGAGGTGACAAGCGCAGTGAAAAGGCTGCCGCTGTCAGCCAGTGTTGCGAACCTGGTGTAGGGTGTGTCTAGTCAAATGGGCTCCCCCATCCTTATGGGACTCCGTGGGGGTTTTCCAAGTAGCAAAATCAGGCTTTCTACAAGTGTTTTAGGAACTGCTGTGGCTGTAGCCCTAACCAATGAAAGTACATATGGATCATCATTCATATATACTTATCTGTTAGGGGGGCAATTGGATTGAAATCCACTTTCCAAATATCAAATAGGCCTAATTAGATTTCTTTCTCCGTTTTCTAATGAGAGATTCCCTTATTTTAGTTACGCAATTAATTGTTCACTTAAAAAAAATTCACAAGCAATTATAGAAAATTAAATGGTTGGAAGTAAAATTTAGCTCTTTAAATATTAAGGTTCCGTTTCCCTAAGCAATCAAAGAACTGATGGTGCAGAGTACATCTTAATCTTCCTTTATAATTTCCTATTAAGAGCATACCAACAGTATAGGAAAAAAAAACAAACAAACTTGTGTCCTTCTAAAACAGAGAGAAAACCACATCCAATTTCCAATTGGTGTACTTTAACTTAAGTAAATTTATTTCAACCTTAGTTTCACCACACATAAGATTATTTTTTCAAGATTCCTTTTCCATGAACCTTCTGCAACACACAAACTTTCTGCAACTTTCATGAACCTTTTATCTTTTGTCCTATCTTTTTCCTTTTTTAATTTTAGAACAATCATTTACTTTAGAGCAAGATTATTTTCTTTGCCTTCAGTATAAACGTGCTTCCATTGCTCATACCGTCTTTTACCAAACACACATCTTATTCTCTATCTGCCATCATTTTCCATCACCCTAACATCCTAATCGGGCTTTATCACAAATGTCTGGATCTTAATCTGAGGGATCTTCTGCCCTGTTAGCCTTGTCAAATGACACATTAAGATCTCCAAACTTATTACCCTAGTTTCCTTTCCAGTGTGTCAGCTCCAAAGCTGGAGAGCAGTGCGCAACTGCATGTCCTTAATTAAACAAACATCCTCAAGGTAGGTTTTATTTACTAAAGATGAATCCTAGATTATGTGCACTTCAAAAGCAACTGTGTTAGTGTCTGTTATTTCTTCAGTTTGTATAGATGCTCATTTGGTTTAGCCCATTGAATAAAGCCCTTTTACAATCTAAATTTGATTTTACTAATCAATTTTTGGCACTACCATCTAGTGATGGAAATATACCAAATTCTATAAACAGACATGCATAGACACATGTAAACAGGCAGCACAATACAAGACACAAAAGAAAAATTATGGATTCAAACATGATTTCTAGAAACTGCACTAGGCTGAGGTTCTGCTCAGATGGTCTAAGTTTTTGCATGCTGTAAGAATACTGTTAAAACGTTCTATTTTTAATAAAAGAATACATTCCATTGTCTCTGAGGGGTTTGAGATTCTCATTTCTAAAGTTTCTCTGCAAGATGTGTTTATTAACAATCACCAAAGGAATAGAAAGCAGGTGTTCACAGTAAAGTTGGAAGCTCCAAAAGTTCAGAGAATGCCCCAAATGCCTGAGTCTTAAGAGAGGCCTATTTTCCTGGGGGGGAGGTTGAAAAATGGCTCCAGAGGGGAAGCCCGAGCATCAGATGGCTAATGCCCATTGCAGACAAAGTTGGGGGAGGGAAAACAGGTGGCGGGTAGGGAGGTGGCAGGCAAGGGGTCAAGGTGGCTGGAAAGTGAGGGATGTCCCAAGGTGAGGGAGCATCAAGTCGTTGCTTCAGAGGCCCACCCCCGTCACCATGGAATGCCCACAGAAAGTCAGTGGTTGGCATCAATTGAACACAACAGAAACCTCTAATTTGGGGTGCAGCCAGAAGGACGCCTTATTCTGTGCGAAGAGCTCAATTGTGACATGGAACGGCTGTGACCCATCTCAACTGTGACAGCATGGTTGTGGAAAGAGCACTGCTG